GTTTGCACAAGTATATCTCCCTCACGATTCTTCCTCAAAGCTCCAACTCTTCCTCCCAGGCTCCCCTTCTTAAATACATTATTGCAGAAGCTCAGCCACCATTGCTAATTGGCTCGGCCTTGGCCTGAGGCAGGTCTGACTTGGAGCCAGGGGAGCTTTGAGAAGCTTCTCACAGGGGCCACTGCTGTAGCCCTCTTCCCCTTTACCAAAACCCTGCCACACACACACACAAACTCAACACAGTCTGCGACCGGGTGTGCTGCACAGACTGGCATTTTACGTGCATGCCAGCACTCTTTGTGTGCTCCTTGACACAGATGGATGTGCTCCGGTATGCAGAGCTTCTCGCTGGCTGGGAGGTGTGTGCCACAGCTCTCGCTGGGCTCTGGCAAGCTGTGGTGTGCAGTCTTCCTCTTGTCCCCTCTGTCTCCTCTGGTTCCCTCTGAGAAGGAGACTGATGTTATCTGGAAGGCCTTGGGAGGGGTGTTGCTGGGGGACAAGTGAAGGGAAAGGATATGCGGCAAAGCCTTTTTGAGCATCAGTCCCTAGCATTAGGGGAATTGCTAGTTGGAGAAGCAGCCTGCAGAGGATGTATATACGTAGCACCATGTATGTGGCTTGTACTGTCCAGACTCAGGAACTGACCAAGCCTGTGGGCCCTGTGTGGACAGTGACACTAGCTGATGCTGAGTGACCATAGCCATGCTTAGAAGAAATCCCTTTCTGGCTCCCAGGAAGCTCTCCACCCTGGAGAGCCAAACTGTGAAGAGGCACAGCTTGGGGGGGCATGTTTGGCTGTACCCAAAGGCAGGTTATTTGACAGATGGCTTGCCTGTGGATCTGAGCTGTGGTAGTGCCAGGTAACCCTCCAACAGCCAGCTGTGGGGGTCAGGCTACCAGAGAGCTGATAAAACAAATGGGTTTGAGCCTCACAGCCTGGAGGAAGCCCTCCCCCTGAATCTTTCCTTATCTCGTCAGTTCTGGCACACAGAGGCTCTCCCGTCTTGCCTGTCTGTCCCGTCTCCCCACCATGGATTTGAGCCAACAACATCATCTCTGCCCCTCCTGCCGCTGAGTGCTGTAGGAGGAGAGGGCTCTGGCACAGCCTGTCCAGCCTCCCAGCCCGGTTTGGAGTTTGTGACTTTGCCCTGACAGCTGTGGCCCGGTTGCACACGCAGAATCACACACACATGTGTGCGTGCACAGTGCTGTGGCAGAAATGGGTGTCAGGCAGGAGGAGGAGGTGAATCACAGGGGAATGAGTCAGCAGGAAGCAGAGGGCAGGTGCTGACCCATGGCTGGACTTCAAGGGAGCCCAAGAGCCTAGCAGCCCGTGCTGGGTCCCCCCAGACGATGGGGAGAGCTGGTGGAGGCAGTGCATGTGGCTTGGGAATGGGTTGGGATCTGGCCTGGCTGTGTGCCAAACCCATGCTCTGCCCACATCTCCTCTGCTGTCCCAGGACAGCCTGGGGCATCCTTGGTGCTGAGGCTTTCCCAGGAGGGACTGAGGAGGAATACCACAAGGAAGCAGTTTGGTGACCAGGTATCCCAGCTTCTGATGTATGAGGTGGATCTTTGTCCCCACGTGGGCAGTGGGGTGTCCAGCCAGCTCTGGGGAAGCTAAGCAAGATCTCTGTCCTAGTCAGATCCTGCCCAGTAACTTTCCAATCCACACTGAGAGAGCAGGGTAGAAAAAGAAATGATCCCTGATGGGGTGGAGAGTGATAAACAGATAGCTCTGGATTGGATAAATGCAGTGTCCGAGGAGAGCTGGGACAGGGGTGATGGTGCACTGGAGATCTGGGGGCATGGTTGGTCATTAGCTCCAAAATCCCTTGTGTGATCTGAGCTCTGCTGCAGACCCCGTAGGGTTGGGGGGGGTTGTGGATAGCTCCTTCCCTTATCCACAGACCTGCTCTGGGCTGTTGAGCTTTCAGCTGGCCCAGCTGGTCTCTGCTGAGTTTGACTCCTGATGGTCCTGCTCATTGCTCCTGAGGGCAGGTCCCTTGTGGGCATGGTGGAGATAGGCTTTATATCAGTGCCACAGCAGTGAAGCCAAAGCTCTCTGTCTGTCTGTGTTTAGGGCCAAACCTCTCAGAGCAGGTGCTTGGGACTCCCAGCTCAGGATGACGTAGGTGCTCAGGATAACCTAGGTGTGATGCAGCAGCTGCTGGTATTGCTACCAACCAGAGCAAAGATCAAATACTTGACCAAAACCAGCTCGCACTGGTCTCCGTGTTGAAGTGAGTCTCTTTTTTTTCAACATCCCCAAGGTGTGCAGGTGTCTGCTCCTCAGCACTGGTTGCAGGTACCTCCTGTCCTCCCTAGTGGCACCTTTGGTGGGGCAGTATAGAGACTAACAGGCTCCAGCAGTCTCCAGAGATATTCTGGAGCTCTGGCCCTGCCCTGGGGTTTCTGGTGTGCTGCAACGGGCAGAGGTTTGAGAGTGAGGGGTTTGTGCAGCCTGGGAAAGGGAAGGCAGTGAAGGGGGCTCTCACCACTGCTGGCCAGCAGCTGTGGGTTTGGAGAGAAGCTGGAGCTGGGATCTCCTGCGAAGTGCCCAGGGACAGGATGAGAGGCAATGGCACACAAGGGAAATTCCAATTAGGTATTAGGAAAAATATTTCCCCGCAAGAGCAGTCAGACTCTGGAGCAGGGCCCAAAGAAGGGAGGCGGTCTCTTAATTTGGAGACTTCCAGCCCTTGGCAGGGGCAATCCCTAAGCAACCTGCTCAAGCTTGGCCCTGCTGTCAGCAGGATTGGACCAAAACCCCCTGAGGTCCTTTCCCACCATTGTTGTTCCCTAGTTCTGCAGTAGCATCTCATGGCCTGTTGGACTGACTTACTTGGAGGCAAATGGAGGGTTCAGGGGGTTGTTCTGTTTGTCGTCTTCTGTCTTGGTTCATCTTGCCCATACAGTATTAGCAGTGTTGGGAGATGGAGGCACTGCCTTGACAGCATTGCCCAGCTCATTGATTTGTTCCAGCCTGTCCTAGCTGGAGCACCCATCTCTCCAGAGGTCCGCATTATTCCCTCCCTGTGTGAGCACAAAAAGCCAGTCAGCAATGAAGCACAGGGTGTAAACCATCCGCCCTGCCCTGCTGGCAGTGCAGAGCTGTGATCCGTATGGGGCTGGTGGTGCTGTCCGGAGGCTGGGAAGGACACTGGCCCCCAGCCCTCCAGCTGGAATGGCTCCAGGTTTATCTTCCCCATGGTGCCTGTCCCAGAGACAGTGGTGATTGCATGGGAAGTCTCCAGTAGCCTTTTTTAAGACTCCAGCTGCCTGAGCATCCCAAGCAGATGGAGGCTGAGATGAGCCCAAAGGACTGTCTGGAAAGAATTACTTGCTCCCAGTATTTTCTGTTTCTTTGCCAGCCTTTTATTCTCATGGCTGCTCTTTTCCTGATCCTGTCCTTCTGCAAGGCTGGCTGCTGGCAGTCTTATCAGCCTTGTCTTCAGAAACAACTTCGCTGTGCAATTTATTGTGTGTCTGAGCTTTGACCCTGGTGCCTGATGCTGCAGAAGCCCATGTCCAGTGTGTAAGTGCCAAAGGGCATTTAGTGTCTGTCCCATCCCATCTGCAAGAGTCATGAACCAGAGCAAAGGGGGCTGCATGTAGCCATGGCGCCTGGGCAGAGCTGATCTGCAGCAGTATCTATGTCTGCCTCCCTGTCTGGCAGAGGCTGGGATGTTGTCCAGCCTCCACAGGTGCTTTTATGTGGGTTTTCAAGGTCTAGGACATTCCCATGAACCTGTGTTAGTCCCAGATCTCTTCTCAGGTTGCTCCTCTCAGCCTTTCCCTTGGGCTTGTTGATGCTGGGCTGCCATCTCACTCAGTGCTCTCCCCTTCCTCAGCAGTCTGTTACTCAATACCACTCTGAGCACTTGCATTACTTGGATATTCATGCTAAAACACCCACACACATCAAGAGCATCAGGGCCTAGTGGTCTGAGCCAAGAGGCCCCTGGAGACCATTACCAGCTGCATGGGTATCTCACTGTGTGGCCAAGGATGAGCTGATTCCTGGTAGTCGGTGGAGAGCTCTTGTGTCTCTTGTGGCTCCATCTCCCAAGGAGGGTCAGGTCTGGGGGGGACATCTGTGTCCCCAGCGGCATGGCTGCCACCAGAATTTAAGGTGTTTTGGACCCATTTGGCATAGTTAAGCTGGTCTCTGAGGTCTCTTGAGCTTTGTGTGTTCCCACAAAAGCAGCACAGCAAAACATGGGCAGCAGCAGTGGCAGCAAGCAGTTTTCTGGGGGCCTTCATGTCTTTCAGGGAATGATGTGGGGGCTTATGTCCTGTGCAGGTGTGTTGTCTGGGGACGCAGCTGTGTGTTGAGCCTGTCCCTATTCACTATCAGTTCTGTGAAGACGGAGAATGCTGATATGCCGGTGCCACAGGGCTGTGTAGTCCCTGCAGGCTGCACCTGCCAGATAGCACCGAGGGCAGGTCCTCTTCGGCCTCTGCCTGACATGAAGCACCACTTGAGCCTTGGCTTCCACCATTCCCATGCAACATGCAGGTGCCATGTGGATTCCCCCTTCCATCCTGAGGGCATCCCTGGCTGTGTGGATTGCACAGAGCCCTGCAGGAGTCCAGCCACCATGGAGGGGGTGGTGGATGCACCAGGCAGAGGGCTCTCCTGTCAGTGGGATCCCACAGGTGGTGCAAGATGTGTGGACCAAGAGCTTTACCAGTTTCATGGGATGAAATAAGAGCTATGCTGTGTCTCCCACTTCCCTGCATATGGATATGCCTGCAGTCAGATATGGCAGTCCCTCCTAGCCCCTCATTTCCCTTCAAAGGGTTTTGTGTCCTTGTGTGTTTGCCTCCGTTAAGGGGAACAGTGTGAGTGTTCAGGTGACAGCTGTGGCATCCTTTTCCTATTGCCAGCAGGGTGTTTCTCTTTCACCTTCAGTCCCACGGGAGGGAAAGGCTTCCTTTTTTCCTGACAAGGCACAGGACATTGAATTCATGGTGGAACTCCTCCTTCCCTGCAGTAGTCCTGGATGTGTCCAGCTCTTTACAGAGATGTACAAAGCCTCACCTGTATGGCCCGAATCCCTGCCCAGCCCATCTCACTGCTCTGGCCTGCACTAGACTTGAGACTTTCTACATCGCAGCTGGAAAGAGGTGAGTTGGGTGGATGTGCACAGCTGTGTGTGTGTGTGTGTGTGTGTGTGTGTGGTATCTCCTCCCCCCGTGCCACGTAGATGTCTAGCACAGGGAGTGGAAAAGATGCTGAATGTCCCCACTGCTGCTGCAGCCTTATCTGCAGGCTGCAGCTTGGTAATGCCGAGCCGGAGGCCTGAGTTCCTGTGCCCAAGCACCTCCCTTGGAGGGCTTTTACAGTAAAAGGAAGTGTATTGCAAGAGGGCTTGCGGTGGGGACCGGCAGTTCTCATGGGGTAAATGCTGCATGCACAATCCTTGCTGCCCTTCCCACCACAGGCACTTCACCTACTCCCTCTTCCCATGCTTACCTTTGATGCCTGTGTCGATAGCTGCTTGGGGTAATGCAAAATCCCTGGGACCTTCTCTGCTGCTCTGTGATGTGCTGGTGACCATTTGGTGAGGTAGGGAAAGGTGACACTGCTGTGGATTTTCCAGATGTGTGTTGGGGACTTGTCAGTGAGGTCTGTGCAAGGAGGCTCAGGCTGGCAGGGCTCTGGGTGTGTGGCAGCTGAGGAGGGGAGGGAGGCTGGTGTACGTTATGGTACAGGCTGCAGCAATCAGGAGGTAACAGGGCACGGGTAAAGAGCTGGGGACATTGGGCATATGCATGGGTGTGCGTGTGAGCAGGGCAAGATCTGATGGTGGAGGAGGACAAGACTGGGGTGGGAGTGAAGAGGAGCACACTCATGGGGATGCAGAGCCCAGCTGCCATGTGGAGGCTGTGGGGAACGGTGAGGGATTGTGCATGCAGGATCAGGCAGTGTGGATGGCTACAGGGCATCAGGGTACGGAAGGAGCTGGCTTGGTAAGAGGGAAGATGAGGCTGTAGATGGCTGTGACTGTATGTGGGAGTGGCTGGAGGGAGAAAAGAGGAGACAGCAGAGCTGGGAGGAAAAGGGGTCCTGTAACCCACTCATTGCCATGCTATCTTTTCCCAGCTCACAAAGCATCAGTACCCCTGGCACTCCCTGCCAGGGGCCTGTGTTTTTGTACCCTGCTTGTAGTGATGGAGAGTGGTCTGGGCTGTTCATGCCACACGGTTAGGTCACGCTTCCCATGGCGTATGGCCCATGACAGGTTGCTGATGGCATAGGAGTTACTAGTAAGTGATTGTCTTTCTTTTGGGGATGAGTTCAGTGGGTTAGGATCGCGTTCCCAGGGCTTCTGATGCAGACATCAACCCCAGGGCATCATTCTTCCTCTTGGGACATCAGATAAAAAAGCTTGTTAATGCTAACATTAGTGTATCACTTGGTATGGTGACGGTCTAGATGGAGACCTGCCTGGGCCTCGGGGTTGCCTCCCTTGGACAAACGTCTTTCAATAAGAACTTGAAACATGACAGTGCACTGGTGCCCTGGTCATAGCTGGAGACCCCAGGTGTCATGCAAGTGCAGAGCAGAAGTGGTCCCTGCCTGCTGCCGGGACCCCTTAGCCTTCTCGTGGCCATCCTGTGACCAGCCACACAGGCATGTGACTTTGGAATCACCAACGGTGGAAAATTTCCCCATCAATTGCAGGTCACACCAAGGTCTGGAGCACCTGGTCTGTGTGGTCATTCGGTGGCTGAGGTCCCTATCCCTTGGACCACTGCCCCTGGAGAGAGACGGGAGGACTAGGAGGGAGCTGGCTAACAAGTCCCTATGACTGGGTGGCCAGGGGCTTGCTTTCACTGCGGGCACTTTCTTTGTCACCCCGGGGTGATTGCTGAGGCCACTGTACCACTGCAAGGCCAACACTGTTGGGCTCTGCATACTGACCTGGTGGCAAAGCTTGCAGGCGCAGTGCCGGCTGCGCCTTCCCCCTGGGAGCAGTGGTGCGCAGCAGCTACCCCGAGGTGAAAAGACGCAGCTTTTTATGAAGCAGAGCCAACCCGGAGGAATTTTCCTCTTGTGGCCAGCTGTTGTCCTGGGCCTGGCTTGCGTCCTCTAGCACTTCCCACCCAGCGCTGCCTCGGGGAGTGGAGCAGGGACTGGCCCACCCTCCGGACTCTCTGTGCTGGACAAGTGAGTGCCACCTCGGGCTCGTGGGGGTGAGTAGCCTCGGTGGAGCCCAGCAGCATCCTGCTGCCTCTGCAGGGATCCTCTTGGGCAGCGGAGAGTTTTCCCCACCCCCAGCTCTGCCGCTGCCTCTTTGTTTTCTGGCAGAAGCCTCCGTGCCTTTTCATTGCCGTTGAGGCGCCGAGCAGGAGCCTACATGTGCCGTGTGTGCGTCTCGCTGGGAACGTGATGCGGGCTGGCAAGCCTGCCGGGCCGGGCGTCTCCCTCGCAGGGCTGCGGAGGCCAGCCAGCAGCTTCGGGGGTCTCCTTCCCGTGGGCTGTTCCTCCGGTCGAACAAGGCTTCGAGGCCGCTGGTTTCCTCCACGAAACCCTCTTTTTGCATTGGCAGCGCTTCTGCACCTTGCCACAAGTGGAGTAAGTTGTGTGGGAAGGGGCCGGTCCTCAGCTCGGCTCTGCTGGGGGCTCGGGCTCTCGGCTGCGGTCCTCCCTCGCCCTCGCTCCTGCTGAGAAGGCACCTGAGATTAGAGCAGCGCCAGGGGCTGCGGAGCCGGATACGGCGGAGGCTGAGGATTGCTTGTGCTGCGCCTGCCTCTCCGCGTATTTGATCTCTCGACTTCCAGTGGGGACTGAATTCCTGTGCTGGATTCTGGGCTTGGCTCTTGTGAAAGGATCCAATTATTTCAGAGCTTTGAGCATCTCCATTTGCTGCCCATATTTGCGGCGCCCGGGTCTGCGCTGGCTGGAATTCCAAGTGATTAACGTGGCTGTGACATCCCTCCTAGGGGTGTTATCTTTGCATGCTGTCCCCCACCACCCCCCTCTTCCTCCTCCGGCAGCAAGCGAGAGAGACAGGCAGGCAGAGACAAAGGTCTGTCCTCAACCTGGGCTGTCCTCCCCGTGAGCGGCTGCTGCATGGGATTTCCCTGCCCTGCCTGCTGCAGGTTTCCTGGGCTCCCGGTCGAACGTTGGAGCTGGGCAGCCGTGGGCTGTATTGCTGAGGTTTGAGCCTGCTGGTGCTGGGTGGGCAGGGGGTGCTGCTGGCTTTGGAGAGCTGCCCGATTGTCCTGCCGGGATTTTAAGCTGCTTTTCATTCTTCGACTGCGCTTTCCTGGGGAGAGGGGCAGCCGTGCATGGAGGGGAGGCTGGCGAGGGGGGTTGGACGTGGGAGAAAGCTGTACACAGGTGGCCGTTGCATAGTAGGATCTGCCTGCAGACCCTGCGAGCCCCCCTTCCCAGCTGCAGGCTATTGTCAGCGTTGCTGCCTGCACGCGAGACACCCGGGCAAGGTGTGTGGAGGCGATCCACACCAAAACGTGGGGCATCAGAGGGAGCAGGGGTAAGCCCCTGGGCTGGGGACTCTGCTTCAGCTCCCCCAGCTCCTGGGAGAGGTTTCATTGTGTTATCCTGGGTTGGCCAAGCAGAAGGGCTCGGCCCCTGCGGCACCTGTACGTGGGTCTGGGGCTGGGGAGGCACCGCATGTCACTGGGCAGACCTCAGCCCATCAGGAGCCTGCTGCAGCCTGGAGCACCAGCAAGGCATCCTGCAGAGAGGGCTGCTCTGTCCCCAGGGGCTTCTGCACCCCATCAGTGTCCCCTCTCACAGGGTGGGAGGAAGGGCAGCAGCAGCACCTCCTGAAGACGGGTGCTGCGGAGCAGAGGGAGGTGTCGGGTCTGTCTGTGTAGAAGCTGTCTCTGGTGGTTTCCAGGAGCTCACACTCCTAACATGGGCATTCCCTTGCCCCATCCTTCCCCTCTGGGCTCGGGCTTCCTTCCCATTATCAATCAGCAGAGGGGCCAGCACTGAGCGAGGCTCTGCATCTGCATAAATCTGGCACAGCAGGAGGCCTCCTTAGGACCCCTGAGAGCAGCACTTGTCCTTGCAGTGGGGCAACGATGCTCCTTCCCTCTGCATCCTCCCTCCCTCCCTCTTCCTTATTTCCACCAAGTGTGATCTCCTTCCTCCCCGACCTGAATTCCAGGGGGATACCAGAGCCGCTTGTCTTTTCCTTCAGGCAGTTTGATTCTCTAGCATCTCTCTAACCAGCTTCTCTCCAGGATTGCCACTTCTCCTGTGGATGGTGCTGGAGGAGGTCCCCAGCCTCACGCGTCTGTCTTTCTCCTGACGGATATGTCTGATCTGTCAGGCTGTGGAGAAACCCTTCTGTGGTGGCAGCATTGCTGCTGGTTCTGCCATCCTTCAGGGTTGTGATGGAAACTTTCTGCCTTCTGGCACTCCGCGAGCTCTGCTCTTAGGCTGTTCCAGGGAGCTTCTGGGTTTGTACTTGCACTGGTTAGATTTCTTTCCTTCTCCTTGGGTTCAGATAGGACTGATGGAGCCACAATTTTTCTTCCAGGCAGTCTGTTTCCAGCAGTTTCTGTTGCCTCTTCTCTTACTTTGCTCATACTGAGAATGATTATTTGTTTTCTCATAATGACAGCCCCCCTCCTTCCTGCCCTCGTGGTTCCAGCTTCACGCCCAGTGAGGCTGCAGAGGTCTCCTTAGCACTTCCCAGAAGATCAAGCAGGAGAAAGGAAGACAGCAAAAGCCACTTTGGGGTTGCTTTGCATTTTTTTTGTGGACTAAATGGTGCAAGAACCCCTCTTGACCTGCACCCATGGCGCTTTGCCCCAGGCAGCAATGCCCAGAGAAAAGCCTCTTGTCCACTGGTCGTGTGTCCCCTTGGCTCGCTGGCAGTGCTGCTCTGGGAAGCCTTGTGGATCCTCACTAAGTGATCATGGCTCCTTTAGACACAGCTCTTGCTCTCTTCCTTGCAACAGTGCTGTGCTACCAGCCCTGCCAGGATCCCCTTTCCAAGGGCTCTGCCAGTCCTGCACCATGACAGATGCCCCACTGGCTGGCAGAGCTGCCTCCACACCCGTCCCACTTCCTTTCTGGCCGCTACAGTGCATTTAAAACAGCAACAGATCCGTTCACAGGCTGCAGCTCAGCATGTGGTACAGCTGCTGCATTGCCCAGCCAGGGTCCCTTCCTCACTCACCATTCTGCTCTGTTGCCACCAGACTGAGACCACAGTCTGTTACTCCTGGGTTCCCCCTGGATGTGCTAATAGGAGTGAAACCATCAGGTGAGGCAAGTCCCTGACCCTCTCCAGGCCTGGCTGTGATCCCTCATCAGGGTCTGGTGACTTGGTGTTCGTGGGAAATAGCATGTGTGCCTCAGTGCTTGAGATACACTCCCTCCCTTCAGGTCCTTTGGAACTGGGTATTTTTTGGCTGTTGAAACATAGTGCCCTTGCTGAGGCTTCACCGGACTGGAGGAAGAGAGGAAAGCTGAACCTGGCATAGCTCCAGACCCAGGTACTGGGGGGCTCTGGCAAAAGAACAGGTTTCGTCCTGTCTCCTGAGCATTGAGGGGGCCTGGCAGCTTGGCAGGAACAGAGCAGAGAGCAGGAAGAGCTGTGGATAGTTTTCCTCCAACAGGCAAAAGCCCTTTAAGTCCTGTCTTAGAGTCAGGCTGAAACACTGGCAAAATCACCAACAGTTGGGCTTAGGAGGGGCCGAACCCTTGGAGCCTCATGTGCTGCATCCGGGGGATGGTACCTGTGCTGCTTAGCTGAGCTCGTGAGGACCTGGACCTGGCTTCGTCCCATCCTGGTGGCCAGAAGTAGGGCTTTGGGGTTGTCAGGACTCAAGGGGAGGAAAAGAGAGGGGTGACCAGGTGCTGTCTCCCTGTCCCTGCTTAGGGTGCAGGAGTCCCTGGTCTCTATAGCGGGACGGTGGGCTCCTGCTGGGTGCTGCAAGAGGCTGAGCCCTGCCGCGAGCTGGCTGGGCTCTCAGTGGGGAGGAGTAGCCCTGGGAGGCAGAGCTAAACACAGCCAAGAGAAACTCTAAGGCTAGGGGAAACGGGATGGGAACCTCCCCTGGACACAGTGCCTGTGCTGCAGCTGCTCCCCTTTCCAGGCTGATGGGCAATCATCCAGTGGGAAGTACAAAGAGATCCCAAAGTGTACTTAGAGACACTTTGGGGATGAGCTGGGGAATTCTGGCATTTGCTAGCACAATGCTTCAAGTGACATTATCTGGGCTGGCAAAATGTGGTGCAGCCCCTTGTGCTAGGCGTGTCCACTACTGGCTAGTGCTGGCATCACCTGGTGACTGATGTTGAGGTCTTGGCTGGGATATATTTGTGGTGTCAGCATGTCAGCCTCTCCCGATGAACCTATTCTCCTGAAAACGCAGCTGCTGCTGGGGAGCAAAGGGCTGTGACTGCAGAGGGACATGAGAAGGAGAAAGAAAGGGTGCAGGTAAAACTATGTATTTGTCCCAGCATGGACACATGCAGGAAGGATGTGGCTTTCTCCTGCTGCACTGTGCTGACTCTTGCTGCTGGCTGCTGATTTTGCTTCCCAGTGGTTGACTGTGCCACATACATGGTACAAATCTCCCCCAGGGATGGAGGAGAGAAGCAGCAACTGTCCAGGCAGGCAGAGCACAGCATATTACCACCTTGGCATCTGCCTACAGCTGCAGATAGTCACTTGCTTTTCTACCTGCTTTCATGTGGGCCACGTGTGGGGTGCCAGGAGGAACTGATCTCTACAAAGAGCTTCTGTTGAGATTTTAGACCAGAGGTTCGTTACGCTGCAGCATTGATTTGCCCTGATGCAAGAGGTCCTTGGGAACTGGTGTATTGTATTGAGTTCTTGCTGGTTGCTGGTGGTGCCCTTCCCCAGCACTGCTGGTGGTGGCTTTTGGGCTGGCCAGCTTTTCAGAACTGGCCATGAGTGCCTGTTAATTACAAATCTTATTGGAAATGTAATGACGGAACAGCCCATTTCCTGGGGCAGATGAGGTCAGGCAATGAGCACAGGGGGTGACCTGCTGAAGCTGGCTTCCCACCTGCAAGATGCAGAACTTGCTGGACCAGGGTGCCAGAAAGAGGGTGTGCACTTGAGAGTTTGGTGCCTCTGAGTATCCCTTCAGGGATTTTATTCATCTGCTTGGCCCTGCTGTTTTCCAGCCTTCAGAGCAGTGTTCACTGCTGGGTTGGGATGCCCAGTGGGACAGGCAATGGCTTCCCTCTGGACGGCCGCTGAAGTGAGGCCCTGGTTGAGGGCTATATGCGGAGGGAAGCAGAGGGGTCATGATCCCCAGAGATGGGCAGCATTTCATCCTTCACCTGGAGGTTCCTGGACCAACAAAGCTCAGGGACTGCCCCTGCCACAGGGGGGCTGATGGTGGAAGTGCCTGAAGGCTCCTGCCCACTCTGAAGGTGTTGTACCACGAGCTGCTGCCTGAGCTGACTCTTCTGCTCTTCTGCTTGCCCTTTTCCAGGCATCAAAGCTGTGGTGCCGGTGGATTATGACTGCAGGGGAGCTGTGTTGCATCTGCAAATCTCTGTTGTGCATCAAGACCACATCTGAGCCGGTGAGTGCTGTGCACATAAAAGGACTGCTATCTTTGTGCTGGGTGAAGCTGGTGGGGAGCCATCACGGCTCAGGGCTGTCAGGCTCCTGGTTTCTGCCTTCCCAGCCAGGCGTCTCTTATTGGAAGAAAAGAATTGCAAACTCTTTTCCTTGTCTGTAGGGCTAGAAAGTGTCCTGTGCCATGGGTGAAAGGGGCAGAAGGTGGACATGAGACCAGTGGCTAGCTGGAGGCACAGAGGTTGCTGGTGATCTGCAGTGTCTTGGAAAGCAAGCCATGAAATTCTTGCCAGAAAGAACCAGGGATCTGTTCACACGCATAGGGTTTCATATAGGAAGGCATGAAAAAGAAATGTAAAATATGAGCCAAATATGAGATTTCACAGCTTAGCTTAAAGTATACATGGTTTAAATGGAAATTAAGGTGATAACACTGCCTGAGATGGTCAAGATTTATGTGGTCTTTGGGTCTGGGAGGTTGGGAGAGGCTGAGCCTCAATGCTACCTTCTCTACCCTTGTGACCCTGCAGGCAGGCAGTACTCTCCTGCCCTTTTCCCGGTAAGTGTCTGAATCACTACAGCCCTTCATCTCCTGCTTTCCTTCCCCTCAGCCCCACTGTGGAAACTGAAGAGCTGGCGAGGACGGTGCGGAGGTTCGGAGGCACACCGTGATGGTGGGAGCCATTCCACGGCAGCCACGCCGCTTCTGGGGGATGCCTGGCTGGCAGGTGTCTTCAGCTAGTTGTGCCAACGACTACCCGCTGCAGGTCAGGGAAGTTAATCTGGAGAAAAGCGGGGTTCTGCTGCAGAGGGGTGAGTGTGGAGGGCAGCCAGGACAGGCTGCAGTGTGGCAGGTTATATAGAGGGGTTGAGGTTGGCATGGACTTCTGGAGGTTATCTGGTCCAAGCTGTCTGCTCAAGCAGGGCCACCAAGAGCTATGGCCCAGGACCATGTCCAGACAGCTTTTGAATATCTCTGAGGATGGAGACTCCACAACCTCTCTGGGCAACCTGTTCCAGTGCTCAGTCACCTTCATACTAAGATACATGTTTCCTGATGTTCAGAAGGAACTTCCTGTGTTTCAGTTTGTGTCCATTGCCTCTTGTCCTGTCACTGGACACCACTGGAAAGAGCTTGGCTCCATTCTTAGCACCCTCCTTTCAGGTGTTTATATACATTGTTGAGATGCCCCTGAGCCTTCTCTTCTCCAGGCTGAAGACCCAGGTCTCCCAGTCTTTCCCCATAGGAGAGATGCTCCAGTCCCTTTAATTATCTTAGTGGCCCTTTTGTTGGACTCTCTCAGGTGTCAGTCCTTTGTTGGACTCTCAGGTGTGACCTCACCTGTGCTGAGCGGAGAGGAACGATAACCTCTGTCAATCTGCTGACAATACTGTGCCTAATGCAGCCCAGGACACTGTTATACTTCTTTGTGGCAAGGGCATATTACTGGCTTGTGGTCAACTTGGTGTCCACCAGGACGCCCAGGGCCTTTTCTGCAAAGCTGCTTTCCAGCTGGTCATCTCCCAGCATGTTCTGGTGCGTGGTTATATCTTTCATAACTCCTTTTAAACAAAATCCCTGGGCTCAACCATCTTGGCCTGCCCCTTTTCCATTCCCATCATGGCAGGGTCAAAATACCATGTGCAGCCTTGCTCTCCAGATAGTCTCGACGCACTTGGACAACCAATTCCCCTATTGCTCATCTGCCCCTACACCTTTGCTCCATCCACAAGAGCAAGCAGAGCTGCAGGGACAGGCAAAGGGCAAAGCTGCCAGGCACAGACAGTTTGTCAGACTCTGGAGCACCTTGGTCTGCCAGTGACTTCTCTTCCATCTCCTCCATTCTTGCAGCCATTTCCATATTTATCATGCCACAAAAACTTGTGGCCAGGATTCTTACAGTTCTCAGGGCAAACAGAAGTGGGTGGATGGTGCAGGAGTCCATGGTACCACCCAGCTACTAATTGAGGTGGTGGAGGCCCCTGATCCAATCTGGCAGAGATAACTGTGATGTTAGGTCAGGCTCCTGTCCCACCATGGGGCTGGTAGCATGGGGCACCAGCCCTGCCTTGTTCAGCACATGTAGCCAGGACAGGTCTTCTTGGTGAGCGCTGGGACATCTTGTTGCTGTTGCCCAAATGGGTGATCGCAGGCTTGAGCCCCTGGGACTGGTCTGACTTGCCTGGCTCTTGTGCTTCAGAACAGCACAAGCACATCAAGTCCCTGGCAGAGGGCAGGCCCCCTTCTACCCACTTGTCCAGACTTGTCCCCAGTAGTCTCCATCCGGGCTGGAGACTCTTTTCTGTGCTCGGGCCTCAAAGGGAGTGCTGCTCCCGCAGGTGGGTGACGCTGCAGGGTTCCCCAGAGAGCCACATCAGCCCGGTTCCTCTTCCTGTCCCTGGAGAGGGAGGTCTGACTGGGCCTGTATGAGGAGCTGCCTTCATCCTGGCAGGTCCCTTGAGGCCAAAAAACTCAGACAAATACAGGGATCCCGGGCTGATCTCCATCCTCCTGCTCTCTCTTTCCAGATGCTGTGCTGCAGTGCACCCGGTAGCAGAGGGCTCACCCGGATGTCCTGAGCAAGGGAGGGGTCCAGCTCCCACCCCCTGTCCTTGCACCCTGACCTGTGGCACTTTACGGTCCCCCTCCCGCTGCTGCATGGGCTGTTCTGACTCCAGCTCCGCTTGGAGTCCAGGTAATTAAGGCTCCATGCGGCACATCCACGCGGAGACGTCCCTGCCCCCGGAGCACGGCACAGACCCCAGCCTGTCCCGGCCCAGTGGAGAGGCACCCTTGGAGCCTTCTGCACAGCGCTGCACCCACCGCAGCATCCTGATGGGCTACAACGAGACAGAGATCAAGCGCCAGAAGGTTTACCAGGTCTCCATCTTCTCCCATCTCTCCAGCTCCTCTGAGAGCACGGAGCAGCGGGCAGGCAGCCGGCCAGCTGTCAAGAGGGGTTACCCTGAGCAGCGAACTCCTGAGGGGAGACGAGATCCCAAACGAACTCACTGGGGTGGCGGGGGGGGGACGGCAAGCGTGACGGGGGCCCTGGGCAGGCTACCCTGGACGATGAGGATACCTTTGAGGATGGTCTGCTGGTGGAGGAGCTGTCCCTGTGCGGCTCTGCCCAGCACTTCTCCCACAGCGGGCTGCGGGTGGTGGAGCACCGCTGCGAGTGCAGCCCTAGTCACAGCCCCAAGGCCAGCAGAGAGGACAAGTCACAGGATGTCTCCTCCTCCTCCTGGCCCCAGCACATTGCTTGCAGTACTTTGCACACGAGAGACAGTTGCTCTGTCTCATCGGGGGATCAGCCTACAGACTATGGGGATAATGTGGAGCGAGCAATTGGCCACAACTTACTTCACCTTGATTTGCACAATATTGCACAAACAGCTCGGGTGGACTCTGGTGGGAAGAGAGAGAAGCCAGGAAGCAGCCCAGCACACAGCAGCAGGGCTAGCAGAGAGGAGGAATGGGAAATGGTGGCCAACGGGTGCAAGGAGCCCCCTTCTCCACAGACAGCATTCAGCCCAGAGCCCAGCAACCTGAGCTCCCTGGAGAAGACACCCTGCGGGAGTAGCCAACACAGCAGCAGCAGCAACTGTCCAGCCAAAAGAAAGCTGCTGCCTGCTGGTGAGGTTGTGGCTGACTCCTGCTCTGAAGATGAAAGCCTGTCCCTGCCAGCAAGGAAGAAGAGGGTCCTGCCGTGCCACCCAGTCCCAACAGCTTGCCGCAGCACTGATGCTAAGGGGGCCCCGTTCTGGAATCACCTGCTTCCCACGGCCAAGGTGAGCATTGCTCATGGGGGGTGTCAGGGAGTGGCCTGGGGACACGCAGAGTTTAGGGCTGTCCTCATGGGTAGTGTGGTCCATCGTGGCACAGTCCCCTGTTGTTTTGCCAGTTATTAGGCCTAGCATAAAAGACACAGCCAGCATAAAGATGAACCAATAACCCAATTGTATTTGATACAAAAGGGTCAGTACATGGGTGAGCACTGGGTGTACAAACAAGTCAGATTATACATAATTCACATCAATCCCACTGACCCAAACAACACCACCACACAACCAACAATGGGTGGAATAAATGGTGAAATGCAGTTTCCCATAGAAGGAACAGGAGATAACCGAGTCCACAAGCCAAACACATAAGACTGAGGAAGCCACACACTGAATCTCTATAGAGCCCATATTTACAAAAGCCAGACCTGACTGGAGCCCAGTCCCAGGGAGGCAGGAGATCCTTCCCCAACAGGGAACTCTGCACAGGGCATCCACCTCACAGACAGACACTGCCCCTGCCTGCAAGGGGTCCCAGCTTTTATCCCTCAGTGGGACACCTGACCTTGGGTTACTTAATGCAGGACCCCTGAGGCTCCTTTACCCAATGTCTCTCCCTGCCAGGCCGGCTGCACCCTGGAGGGAAGCCTAAAGGCAAACTCGCCCCCCTTTGTGAAGGGCTGTGGGAATCACCCACATGGCAACCTTAATTTGGGGCTTGGGGTTGAAACTCCAGCATTTTACCTGTCTTGTCCCAGTGCTGCAGCACTGATGTGAGCAGGGCAGCAGCTGATAGCCAGCCCTGGGACACGTGGTCTATAGGTTGTCACCAGTTCTTGACGTTTTGTAATCACTAGATCCTCTGCTTGCAACCAGCTCTTTAGCCTGGAGAGCCTTGTTCCAACAGGACACAACCTCCCCATGACAGTTCCAGAGTCTGGACACATGGTGTGGGGCTACACTCAGTGTCGAACAGTTTCAACTTAAGCTAGACTTAACAGCAGGCTTGGGAAGTGGCTGGCCTCTGCCTGACAAAGGTGTGAGGGTGGCTTGGGTCCCTGGCCATGATATCCATCAGGGCAAGAGTTTGGTGGCAGGGAGCAGGACTGGACATGCTCTGGCCAAGGAGTGGGAGCACCAGTGCTGTGTACAGAGATGCCACTGGCTTTTCTGTAGTTCTGGGGTGTCCATGACACATCCCCAGGGTGTCACAAGGTCTCAGAAATAGTTTGCGACCACCCTGGCAGATTAGGAGCTGCCTGTGCTTCCTCCCTGCTTACCTGTCACTCCTGACCAGCTTCCTGCATTCACCATGTCCTGCCAGCTGAGGCTGCAGCAGGCTCATGCCAGAGTTGGCACAATCCTATCTTTCCCTGGGGCATCCCAGGGAACATGCAGGGACTGACAGCAGTGCTACCATGGCTTCTTGCTTGGAGTTGGGACACACTGTCCGTAGGGCACAGCTCCATCCCTGCCTGTGTGCCCTTTTTGGTGATTGTCCCCCAGCCCAGCTGCCCCCAGCACTGCCCTTGCAAAGTGAAGCCCTCCAGTAGCTTCCCTGGATTTTCCCGTCCGGTCATGCCAGCCAGCTCCATCATCCCTTTGTGTTGTGCTGCCCTTTGTGTGGCTTCCAGAAGGGAAAACTCCTGAAAAGGGGACATCTTTAAAAGGAGGCTGCAGTGTGGCTCTGGCTTTAAGCCCCCACCCTACAGCTGTAGAAGCCTGGCTGTGGGCAGGGGTGGGCAGCACGCCCCTCTACCCAGCAGCACCATTGAGGACTGAATCACAGGGGGACGGGACTTTTCCTGGGCTGGTCGAGGAGCTTCATTGTATGTGTTACCATTCCCCTGGGAGGTGCAAGGGGTTGTTGGTGCATGGCTCTGTCTGGGGGTGTCTTGTCACTGGTCCCGAGACCTGCTTTGCAAGGTGGGAGTCATGTGCTGCACCCTCGTCTTGGGTATCAACACCCTCATCCCCAGCAAAACCGCCCTGGGGTTTGGGCAACTCCATGTCCCCACCAGACACCCCAGCCCTCGTGCTGCCCTGCTGACCGCCCCTGCAGAGGCCACTGACAGCTCCCCATGGATGAGAGCCTGTCCGATCTGCTGGGACCCTTGTGGGGCTGTGGGGCAGGGCAATGGGTGATGGCATCTCCTAGGGTTGCTGCCCTAATGTGGTTCTCGATTTCATGTCCCCTCCAGAGCTCTATGGATTGCACTGCAATTGGGAGGAGGCTGAAGAGTGGGCTGCGCCTCAAATCGTGAGTGTCCTGGCAGCCCTGCGGGATGGACATGGGGGCTCAGGGTGCTTGGCCACCCCAGCACCCTGCAGCAGCATGGGAGGTTTGGGTTGGGCCTAGTCCTCTTGCCCTGCCTCTCCACAAGACCCCAGGCTATGGGGCGGTGGGGGGATTCTTCTGCCCATGGCAGGTAGGAAAGTGGGTTCAACCTCCACCAAAGAAGGGTATGGGGGGACATGGAGAGAGATCCACATGCCCAGGGACACAGGTGCCCAGGGCTGCATGCTCTCCAGTCTGACACCAGTCTTCTCTCTCTCAAAGTCGACATCTCCGGAGCAGTCTCCGGAGGGGCACCAGGTCCTCTGCAGCACCCTGGGCCACCACGATCATCAGCCATGCTCTACTGGGCAACTTTGAGGTAACAGCACCCACCTGCCAGGGAGGGGGGTGGGTCCCAGGGACTTCAGGCTGGGCCAGCAGTGGGCTTGAGAGGCTGAACCTGATGGGAGCCCTAGTGTGGGGCTGGGCTGATTGTCCCCAAAGGCCTGGTGTGCAGTGGCTTTGTCACACAGCCACCATCCACCAGCAGGATGGCTCAGCCAGCACCAGGACCCTGGACCTTGCTGAGATGGCTGCTACAGGGCTGAGCTGAGGCACTTTTGCTGCTTCTCTGTGTTAGATAGCTGGTTTTAGCCCACCAATTCAGGATGAATCTGTCTCAGAGTGAACAGCCAGGGCGCCTCATGGATGGTCCCTGGACACGTGAGGGCAAGCAGACATGTGGTTGTAGTGGAGATTTGGGGGTGATCACACCTGACGCTTCAAGGTGAGGGGCAGAACTGGTGTTTGAAGGTCCCTAACTCTTCCCTCCTCTCTCAGGAGTCGATCCTGAAAGGACGCTTTGCACCGTCGGGGAGGATTGAGGGGTTCACAGCAGAGATTGGTGCCAGCGGCTCCTACTGCCCCCAGCATGCCACTCTGCCTGTTGACGTCACCTACTTCGACATCTCTGAACACAGCGTGCCCTCGCCTTTCCTGGTACGCGGACAAGGGAGGGCTGGGACCGTGGGGGAGGTGAGTGAGGGCTGTGACCAGGCACCAAGCGTCCTGGGGGCTGTTCTTCTCTGGAGAGCGTGTCTCAAGCAAGCACCTACCCCAGGAGACCACTAGCTGTGCCAGAGAACAGTGTTTAACCTCAAAAGCAAAGAGAGAAAGAAGAGGGAATCCTTGCAGGCATATAAACAGGCTGCCCATTGTCTCATGGCTGTTGCTTTGTTGTCACCTTTGTGTTGCTGCTTGGTCATCCCCTGATCTGGAGAGGGACTAAGCTGGACATCTTCTTGCCACCTTGTGCCAGGAGTTCCTGGTGATGGGGGCTCTCAGCCCCATGCAGAGTCCCACCTGGGCTCTCTGTGGGCTTTCTTCCTCTCTCACATGCTCTTTCTTTTGCCCCAGGGAGTGATTGATTTGGAGGGCTTGGGAAAGAAGGGTTACAGTGTCCCCAAAGCTGGAACCATCCAAGTGGTGAGTCGTTCCCTGGCCTCCAATAGCACTGTGGGGAAGGGGGCTGGGTGGGCTCCGGTTGTCCTCCAGAGCAGCAGCCAGAAAGCTTGGGCAGAAGCAGGTATGTGGGCACCAAAACAGCACAGTGGAGGGGAGCGTGGAGTCCTCAGGGTACTGGCAAGGAGACAAGGTGATGGGAGATGCAGGAAAGGAAGAGGTTGGTAAGGAGGGATAGGGTCTCAGCAAGAGAGCGTGTATGTGCAGTGGGGATGGGATGCAATGGTATGGGAGCTCAAGAGTGGAGGTGGATGGAAGGGACTGACCTGTGGGCGGGCCTCAAGCTCAGCTCTCTGGGGTGGTTGTTGAGCTTTCTGGACCCTCGGGCTGGCTGGTGCTGCCCCTGGATGCACTGGTCCTGCCCTATGGATCCATTCCTGTGCCCTTCCCAGTCTCACCCCCTACCCCTCTCCCCCCAGACCTTATTTAACCCCAACAAGACTGTGGTGAAGATGTTCTTGGTGACGTACGACTTCCAGGACATGCCGGCCAACCACATGACCTTCCTACGCCATCGCATCTTCCTGGTACCTGTGGGAGAGGAGGAAGGGGCCATTGTGCCCCCCCGAGACCCACTGGGCACTGACCCACCCCGCAGGGTCCTCTGCTACCTGATGCACCTAAGGTAGGGCATGCTGGGAGGGGTGGACACCTGCCACAGGTCACCCCTGGGCTCCTCTCCCATGTGTCCCTGGCTCCTCCAAGCCTGCAGGACAGAGCAGGGGGTGATGGCAGCCTGACCTCCTCACCCTGGGGAGGAGCAAGGACTGGCTGCTCCTTTGGGGAGGTCGGAGCTGTCACCCTGCCCAAGGGCAGCAGTCTCTGTCCCTCTGAAGGCAACCAGAGCATGGACACCTTGACCAGGGGCTAATGTAGATGAGAGGGTTGTGATTCCCACTGCGGCTGTGCTGCCTTTGCCTGGGAGCCTGAGGTCCCTCCACCCTGCTTTTGTCTCCACTCAGGTTTCACAGCTCCAAGTCGGGGAAGATCTACCTTCATGACGACATCCGGCTGCTTTTCTCCCGCAAGTCGATCGAAGTTGACTCGGGGATCCCCTATGAACTCAAATCCTTCACGGAGATGCCAAGGAACCCCTGCTACTCACCTCGGGCCTGAGCCCATTGCCCAGGGCCACCGGGGAGCCTCCAGCCCAGCACATTGGGGATAAATGAGTAAAAGGCCACCCAGCAAGCACCGCTGTGAAGTATTGCCCCGCCTGCACACCCCTGTCCTCCTGAGCAACATGGACACCGTGCCCACGCCCTGCAGCAGGGCTGGGATCACCAAGGGGGCTTCACCAGGAGGGGCAGAGGCTTGGGAGCAGTCCTGGCACGCCAGGCATATGCCCAGGCCTTCTGCTGGTGCTGCTTCCAGCTTAGAGACTTGGCTGTAGCTGGCAGGGTGGAGTGGAGTTGGGCTGGGGGTTCCGGGTGAGGCTGCCCATGCTGGTCCCGGTGTTGGGAGCAGAAAGTGCAAAAGAGTTTGTATTTATTAGTATTTATTGTTGCAGGGAGTGCAGAGGCTTGTGCAGGAGATTGGAGGTGCTGTGCTGTTCTTCCCCAACCCTGTTGGTGTTGGATGAGGCCCCTGGCAGCATGGGGCTGCCCAGGTTGGGGTGGGGCTGTGGGGGCTTTGAGGGTAACTGGGGATGGGGACACCTTGTCTAATGGAAGAGGGTGACCCCGCTCTTGTCCAGGGTGCACCTCCTGGGCCAGGGCTGTTTTAAAAGCACTGGAAGAGGCTGAGACTTGCTGGCCACCAGCTAGGAAGGTCCAGCCCCAATTCGAGCAGCTTGGGGAAGCCTGGACTTGTTCTCTGACCTGTTTAGAGTGAGCCAAGACTCCGAGAAGTCTGGGGCTGGCAGAGAAGTGGCCATTGCCGTGGATCCTGGGGATAAGAGTCATGGCTGTCTGACAGATGGGGATATGGGGCTCTGAGCATGGGGACAGCCCTCCTGGCTGTGCTGTGGATCTGAGAGAAGGCAGCAGAGATTGCCGAAAAAAATCAGAGCCTTGCACTGCACATGCGGAGTGAATCCCATCCTGGAGGGGACTTTGGGCAGGGTCCTGGCAGCAGTGTGATCAGGCACTGGAGGATGGCCGGGAGCCCTGGCTTAGTCCCTGGGAGGAGGGGAAGCAGCTGAGGATATCAAACAGGAGTTGGACTGGACCTTCACGTGGGGGTTTGGGGGTGATCTGGAGCAGTGCCAGTCTCTGCTGCAGCCTTGGGAGCTGCGGGCCAAGCCCAGAGTGGGTCAGAGAGGTCAGAGGTGCGGGGGGGGCAAGGGAAAAACGAGCTTGCATGTACCCCATCTGCATCACCCCTGTGAACTGGGGTCTTTGCTAGGCTCTTAGAGCCAGTTCAGGCTGGGGTAATCCCCAGCCCCTCTCTGTAAGGGACAGGTGCCCACACCACCATACGCCAGCCTGCACGGGGCTGCCACCTCCCAGGGGTGGGCACGACCCCCGGGCCGGGGGCTCCCTGGGCTGGCCGTCATTTTAACCAAAGCCCACCCCGCTGTTGGTCCGGGGGTGGGCC